TTAGATGGTCATGAGTTACATCATTTGACCCTCTTTCTTCATTTGATCATAACTTTGTTATCCGGACTCCAAATTGATTGAATTTTTTTTTTTGAACTTGACTAATTTTTCATCGTCTATCCAATGGCATGCTCGATTGCACCCAGATATTCGTGGATAATTACCAGTTTACCCTTTTAAGCCTTAAGTGCTCATTTTTCTTCATCTTGACGTTTCTCCTTCGTCCAAACTCTGAATCATGCGATTCTTGAGTCCATCTTGATTAATTTTTCGTTGTCTTTCCAATGGTGTGCACGGTAACACTCATTCCGTGGTAAAATGACCATTTTACCCTTGGTCCATTTCTTGTAGGTTTTTAAAAACCTTGTTCCCTTCTTGCTTCCTTTGATTCTTGGGAATCCTCAGGAAGCCACTTTCATGTCTTAGGGATGACGTACATCTCTCTAGACTTTCATTTTGTATGAAAAGACTATTTTGCCATTGGAGGCATACTTGTCCGATTTTTGATCTTTTTCTTTTGCGTTAGTTCTCGTTGAGTTCCACGACCTCATGGAAGGTCTTCAAAGAGTCTAAGAGGTGTGTTATGCCTTGGGAGACCATTGTCTTATTATTTGCTTCTGCATTTCAGATCCATAAATGGGTCAGGACACACTGGGTTTGAAAATCCAGGGCCGTCACAAAACAACTTCTTCTTTTTTTTCTTTTTCTTTTTTTTTTCTTCATAAAATGGGGGCTTTTGAGAACATGTTTCCAAAAATTAAAAATAAAAATAAAATTACTAAAAATGGTTATTAGACTTATTCCTATTTTTTTAACATTTTGGAAACAAGAAACAAGAAATAGAAACATTACCAAACGACCCCTGGTTGTTCATTTATTGATTTTTCACCCTTCATTTTTTTATTATTTATTTATTTTTTTATTTTTTTTTTGTACTTTGATTATTAGTTGTAACAAATTTATCAATAGCTCATTTCTCAGATTTAATTAGTTTATCTATTTTTCTTTTCTTTTTAAGTTTTTCATATTCGGATTCATACTTTTTAGTAAACATATTCAACAATAAATTTTTTTTATTACAACTCACAAACGAAATATGTGATTTTATGATAACAAAAATTAATAAAACTATAAAATTATTTAAGTTATAGAACAATAGAATCTGATTTCAAAAAATTCAGTCCAAGGCTTTAACAAATTATTCAATACAATAAAGTCTACACAAAATTTTCTCACAGACTGAAATAGTGAGAAAATATGTGAGGAATAAGGAAATAAAAAATAAAAAACAAAAGAGAAGATAAAAATAAATATGTAGTAGGAGTCTTGGAAGAATATGGAAGGCTTCACCAATTCACACTACAACATTAAATATATATGGGTTTAATGATCATGGGGAAATATATATAAGGAAAATGTGAAATAAGGATAGAAACATTTTAGGCCCACTATTAAATCTTTCTATTGGTTAATTTTTTTATAGGAAATAAATAAAAAAAATTTAGAAGAGTTTATATATAAAGAAATATATATATATATATATGAAGCCCTCAAATAAAGGTGAGAATGGATAAAAAAATTTTAAGCCCGCTAATAAATCTCTCTATTTAAAAAAATAAAAAATAATTTTTTCAAAAAAATTATAATATATATGAAAGTAAAAAATTTGGAGCCTTCATAGCTCACCTAGGACTCCAGCCTGCCTGTGCAGAAGGAAGCTAAGAACTCCGCCAAAGCTACAAACAAAAATTAAAACAACTGCACGTTAATTGTCAATTCAAATTTTTAAGGTACATAGCTCTTCAAGTTTGTCATTTCTCATGGCTTTTTATCAAAACAATTAACATAGACTTCAATCAATTTGGAGTTACTGGAAAAGTAGAATTACAGCTTGTGTCCGAAGTATAATTTGATCACCGCCAGAAGCATCAACTCTATATATTATAGTGACTTTAACACGATATAAATATATAATTATGTCAAATACATAAAAAAATAAAAATTAAGCCAAAGATCGAGGTGAGATTGATTTTTATACTATTCTGAATCTAATATAATATAGTACCGGAAAGCCGCATGCTATTGCGAGTGTAATGCCAAAAGAGTAGCGTGTAGGTGAGAGAGAACTGAAAACTACTCCCTCCTCCTTATAAAAAATTATTATTTTTAAAAAATCTTATCTCTCACGAATTAAAATAATACGATTCTTTAAAAGGGACACTATTTTTTAAAGGGAGAAAGTACCTTTTAATCTTATTTGTACAGTTACTTGTAGTTTGGTCTTCTTAATTAATCAGAGCTTAGGTTTATTTAATGAATAGTGTCCAATTTTTATATTAATTAATAATGGAGGAAATTACAAGAAAAAGTGTACCATATTGATCGAGCTAATAACTACAAGACATTTTTGTGATTGGAATAACCATTATTTTACTTGATGTGGACTTTTGAAGTCTTCACATCCTAATGGAATATTAGTCTTCACTCCCTTTTGCTTTGGGATTAACTTTAATATGTTAATAATTATTGTAATCACACTATTTTAAGCTCACTACATTTTGTGCCCAACCCATTCAATCAAACCACTTAGGGAGGCAAATTAAGTCAATGTATTGCTTGAAAGTCTTACATATATCATTATTAATATGTTTGCAGATTAATATGTTGAGAATTTAATTAAGACAAATACAATGAAACGAGAACTTGCCAACAAAACTATCCGGAGAATGCCTTTTTTGAGAGCTTAAGTATCCTTGCCAACCTCCTGATAGTTTTGTTGACAAGTACTCGTATCATTCTATTTGTCTTAATTGAATTCGCAACATATTAGTATGCAAACATATTAGTAATGATACATGTAAGACTTTCAAGAAAGGCATTGACTTAATTTGCCAGCCTAAGCGGTTTGATTGAATGGGTTGGGCAAAAAATGTATTGAGCTCCTAACTAAATAATAAATAAATAAATTAATGTCAAAACAAAAATAAATAAATAAATAAATAAAATAAAATAAAATAAAAAATCCTTGAATTTTCATCAAATTAATAACCACAATAACCTCTTGCAATACAAAAGTGAGCAAGTCAATCCATGTAATTTTAAATGTGAGCAACTTGTTCCCTACATTCACTTCCGACCACTTTTCGTCGATATAGTGATGCACATGATTAATATTTTTTTTATTAATCGCAAAAGTACCATCTAATTAATATGTCGACCAATCCCATCTTCCTATTAAAAAGTTTTTGCATTCCTTTAGGAAATTTTCTTTTTTTTCTTTAATTAGTACTTATGCATACATGCCTCCATTGAGGTTCGAATTGCTGACCTTCCTTTAAAAAGTAAGAACTTGGTATCAATACGCCACCGACTATTTTTCATTTTCATAATATTTTCTTTTTCATTTTCTTAACTAAATCCGCTACCCAACTATAATCCATTTAGTCCTGCAGATTCCAATATTTCATTGGTATTTGCATTCCTTCACTTTGCGTGAAGTCAGACAAGACATCTATTATTATAGACCAAACTCAAGATTATATAAATAAATAAATATATATATATATATATATATATATATATAGTGAGAGAGAGAGAGAGAGTTGGTGGAGGTGTAATAGGATTTATTCCATCTCCCATAGTACAACTTCTTTTCAACCTATGTTCACACTAATTTCAACCGGCAGTAGCCCTTCTTCAATGTTTGTGTTACTATTTATTTATATATTTTTTTTCAAAATTATTCACTAGGCGATGATGTTAACTCATTATTTCGATTATTATGTATGTTAAATTTTATTATGACTAGCTTTTAATATATACACAGCTCATTGCACGTTCAAGTTATTTATTTATTTATTATTATTATTTTTATGAAATTATAAAAAGAAAAGAAAGTAAAAGGCAAAGTCATTTACCACGAAAGCTAGCAAGAACAGGTAAAACAATAGTAAAATGAATTAATTAAACAAAAATAAGTTAAAAAAAAAGGAAGAAAAAACAGGAAAACTATCACCACTTTCACTATCTCTGTTAAATTAATGTGTCAGTGAAATTATACCACATCAGAATTAGATTTTCTTTCTATAATAATAATCGAATTGAATATAATTCACTGCAAAATGTCATTTTACAAGAGAAAAATAAAATCTCATAGGAAATAATTGTTTACAAAGTACTTAATGATACATATTTAGAGTATGCCTGATCTATTCCCAATTGGTACTTTGATCTCTCCTCATCTGTATAATATAAAACTTAAAAGGGAATAGACCTCCAGGAAAAGATAAGACATAAAATAAAACAAAAAAACAAAAAAGATGGATACTCTATTGAGAGATGCGTCAAAACTACATTTACGAACTAGATGAAGAGTTTCACACTTAGTTAATTTAGGGTCACGTAGTGTCTCAGTTTACTCAGTTTACCATAGAGAGCTTTTAAGGTATTTTGGCTTCTTTTTTTTTTTTTTTTCAAGAAAAACTTAATTATAGGGGATAGTTTGGTAAGTGCATAATAACATCATATGAAAAAAAGTAGTGAAGAGGAAATGCAAGGTTACAAGTTACTCACTTTTAAAACTATAAACTAACTTTTGCTCACTTTTATACTACAAGAAGATATTGTGTTTATGTGTGAAACCCGCTACTGTATCACGAGTAAAATAAATAAATAGATAAACAAACCCGCTAGCGCACCCGAGGGATCGACATTAATTCAATTTAATTTCATATCTGCATTGGGTCATAACATTAAGATATGTACTAGTATATAGATGAATAAATCCTACAGCATTTGATTCCATAAAATAAATACCTACCAACACTCTTCAACACAGAGGATCCGTTAGACAAATACTATACAAACCGGCCAGTGCACATCCAAATTATCTGCCTCCTCTATATAAGACATCAATTGCCGTAACTTGATCACTTTGAGCTAGCTCTCTCTCAACACAAAACACACTCCAATTGAAAACATCAAACATGCAGTGCATGAACATGGAGATCAACGTTATTGGAGCCAACGGTGTCGAGAACGTCCGAGAAATCTTCCGAATGAAAGTTTACGCAAAGGTTTCAATTGCCGGCGACCCCAGAACCGAGCAGAGAACTCCGGTGGACAAGCACGGCGAGACCAACCCTGCATGGAATTGCATCCGGAACTACACCGTGAGTGAGTCCGCGGTGCAACAAGATGGCATCATGCTCGTGATCAAGCTGTACTGTAAGCGTAAGCTAGGAGACCGGTACGTAGGTGAAGTGCACGCGTCGATCAAAGAACTGTATGAACTCGCCTCGGCCAAGGGAGGCAGTTTTGTGTTGAGTAGCCCGGTGAAAAGGGGTTTTACGGAATCAAAAGGAGAGCTCACGTTTTCATGCAGGTTTGGAGATATAAGGACTGTTGAGAAGCCCTCCTTGACGGATAAAATGGCGGTGGGCGGAGCTAGGATGTTACGGCTCGGGGCACTTCTTTTCACTATTGGAGCAGAAATTCATGATTTATTCGATGGTTAATTATTCTATTTTGTGTCTACTAGTTAAGTTTCATGTTGTGAAATAAGTCCTGAATAATTCTCTTTCCAGTCTAGTGGACTTGTAAGGGGTCATAGTTTATTGGATGTTCTTTCTATGTATGTATGTGTGTGTAAAATTTTATGGAAGATTAAATATCAGTGTTGTACATAGATAGTTAATTCTGCTAATTATCCTTTGTCCATGCATGATTGTGATAATTTCATTTATGTTATCAAGTTTAGCTAGCTGGTGATGATTGCCATTCATGAATTTCAATATATATATATATGATAGCGACTCGGATTCTAAGGGTGAGTACCAATCACTTGTTAACAAACTAACATTGACAGCTTGGGTATACTTGCTGTGAGAGGCTAGGAAAGCAATCTCAGATAATTCCATCAACAGATATTAACGTACAGGATCAAGTTACCAATTATAAATCGTTGCAAGCTTATTGATTCTGGTCATGGTGGGTGTAATTTTTTACCGGTTGTTTGAGCCTAATTTTTGTTGGCTTTTGGTGGCCGGTCCTGGGATAATTAATGTCTCACAGGTTGCACACAGCGTGCACATAAATACAAGGGATTCATATACATAGCATATATATGTGAGTTGCGCCGCAACGAAATAACTTTTTTGAGATTAAATTATGTGTTTCTATTATAAGATTATTTATTAATTGTGTAGCTCACGTGATTTGGATATATGATATATTTTATTATTCAGTGGTTAAGTAAATAAATATTAGACTATATTAATTATATTATTTGGTCTACTTATAAATTATCATTTTGGAAATTAATTATTGAAGAAGTGTTTTCATATTTGTTCCTTACTTTGATGGAAGGTGAATATTAGGATTACTAAAGAAAAACTGGTCTTCTCTTTACTTTTATAAAAGTGCATATATCCCATCCATTTATGTACTATAATGAAACAACACGTATGATAATATTCATGTGTGCAAAATGTCAATAGAGAGAAATCGGTTTCCACACTTTAACTATTATTTGGAGTTGTAGTTTAATACGTTGTTGGTTCCGCAGAAATGATCTCGACGTTTGGCTTGACTTTTACGAAGTTTGCAATTACGGATATAGGTATTTATATCTAACTATTTATTTATACATTATAGACATGTGAAAATAATGAAATTCTAAGATCTTGAGATTCATGTTTATTTGTGATTAATGTTTATTTGTGTATGCGCGCGCGCGCGTGTGTTGGGTTGGGGGGGGGGGGAGGCGGGGTTAAAAGGTCATATTCTGGATTAAGGTCAATTAATATGGAAGTTATAGTTTATGTGTATTACACTTGCCATCGTGAAGGCCTATGTTCACTTGTCCATAATTTACTGTTGCACTCCTTCATGGAAATCGTGGTGAATCCGCATATATATATGTGTGTGTGTGTGTGTGTGTGTGTGTGTGTGTGTGTGTGGATGGATCATACATAAATATTTCTATATTAAAAGGTCATATTCTGAACTAAGGTCAATTAATATGGAAGTTATAGTTTATGTGTATTACACTTGCCATCGTGAAGGCCTATGTTCACATGTCCATAATTTACTGTTGTACTCTTTCATAGAAATTGTGGTGAATCGGCATATATATATATATATATATATATATAGATGTGTGGTTCGATCTGTTGGGAAACGTGCAAGTTTTAAAAACTTTGCGAGGGATTTTGATTCATAGATCTTGATTTGTAATACCCCTAATTTTAAAAAGGATAGTCCTGGCATTTATTTTAATTATGTATGTGTGTTTTTACTAAATTTATTGTTTAAATTGTATTTTGTTTGTTTAAATAAATTGTTTGCTGGATTAATTGCATTACTTGAATTAAATTGTTTTAAATATTTGGTTAATAAATTATTTGCTTGATTATCTGCATTTCATGAATTAATTGTTTAAATAAAACTGTTTTAGGTTAATTGGTTATTTAATTATGTTTCTTAAGTTTTCTTAATTACGTGCTTATGTAAAATTAACTGTTTTATAATTTAGGGTTTAGTTTATTTAGCCGACACAGGTTTTAATTATGTTCTATGGGTCGGTTAGGATTTAGTTAGGGCTTGAATTAATTTAGGGTTTGGTATAACTCTATAAATATATGGGTATACGTCTGCCTAATGTTTTTGATAAACCCTACTCACCACCTTCAATAACAGAGTCACGTAACAGAGTCATACAGAGAGTTGTGAGGGCAGAGAAACAGAGAGGGAGCTTGTGTGGTTTACCGAGAGAAACTTTAGGAGATTAAGGGAGGGATTCAAAGAGGAGTTCTGGTCCTAACTAGGAGTGGCAGAGGTTAATAACAACAAGTTGACGTTGCCGGAATTTATAGAGACGGTGAATTATAGTTTCAAATCTGAAACTGCAGGCAAGTCTCTGTTCCACTCTATCCCTTTAATCTGTGTTCTGTGCATACTTAGTTAAGACTCCAGGGATTAAAACAAGGATAAAATGGACTTAAATAAACTTTATAACAAGTTTTATATGCATGTATGAATTTCATTTACTCTCGTGAATTAACTGCTTTGCAAGAATTGTTGATTTTCTGCTACTTGATTTTGCTGCGGATTGTTTTTGAATCTTGTGTTAAATTCTTGTTGTGAATATATATTTATGCTTGAGAATTAGTCTGAGACATTAAATGAACCCTTGTATAAGTAAGTAACATAGTATTGAATGTCACTAAATTAATCTGTTGTGAGTTGCTTAAAATTTCAAACTAAGGTTCTGTGATCGTTGCTCCTAAACCTATATTCCATGCATGTTATCATTGAATATCAGTGGTTCAAATATGTACCTAGGACTGAGATTGAACCTAGAATAAAAATTAAAACATGTTACAGAGGCTCTGGTAATCACCGGAATCAGAGAAAACGAAGCTGGAACGGACAACGGCTGCTAAGGGAGGGAGAGCAGGCCCCCAAAACCCTTAGAGCCGGCTCCCAAAGAGTTGGAGCCGGCTCTAAGTGATTTAGAGCAGGCTTTAAAAGTTTTAGAGCAGGCTCCAAATGGTTTTGAGCAGGCTCAAAGTTTTTAAAGAGCCTGCTCCATCTTAAAACGTACAGAACTGAGTTTTAGGGACTTTTTGGCTGAAATTGGATTTTCTAAAATTATTTAAAGGCTACTGGAGGTTGTAATTTAATGTTTAAAACTTGTAAAAATGTTGGGAAGTATGATTACAAATAGAAACTAAGAACGGAATTAATCTAAGATTAAACAGTGAACCCGTGGGTGGATGATTTGAAAATTAATTTTTATTGTCTACTATTTTTGGAATTTTATTTCTCTGCATGACTTGGATTTGTAAATCATATTTTGCAGCTGTGTTATAAGTATACTGTCGTATAGTTATATGTATGCTTAGTTGGGATCAACTGGTGTTAAAATCTATTTTACATTGCATCAGTTATGGTACTGTTTGGAGAGGTAGATTGTGTAATTCTACTCTATCAATTTAACGGACTGTAATTGGGATTCTAAATCTTATATTGAATGCATAAGTTGGTTATATACATGTTAAACTATATTTATGCTAATTCTGGAGTATGGTTGATAAATACTTATTTCTATTTTTGTCAACTTCGTTAATTGGAGGATTGTATGTACCGGTATGGGACAGTGACATACTAGGTATGGATTAGTCAAACACTAAATCCTACCTACTTTGGATTAAGGTATGGATTAACCCTATGAGTTAAGTCCATCACCTACTTGTGTCATGTTAACAAAATAGTTGAATGACTTAATATGGTTTCAGGACGGATGGATATACATATACCAGATCACCACACAGATGGATGGTATTATGTATTAGGAGGAGTATGGACTTTATATATTTATTATATGTGCCATGGTATGAGCTTGAGTCTCAGGACCATGGTTAGGGCGCGTATATCGCCTAGGATGGATAACTGGACATAGGTGTTGTTCCCTGGTAGGTCTAGGTACTCATGCCCACCCTAGGGTGCGTATTCGCATGTTGCCTTCTATTCAGGCTGAGACAAACCTACTGGACTAGCGAGCGTCCTATAGTGTGTACTATATACATATATTAACTACTCTAGATATTGTTGAGTCTTCCTAGGATGTATCTGCTTATCGGATTACTGTTTGAATTGTAGTAGATCAGGACTTGCATGTGGGCCTGACCCACTTCTTTATTTTTCAGGTGCTCGTCAGTTCCAGGGTTAGAGTTTGGACATGCAGAGCAGATACAGCTATTCACTCCTCCGATTATGTAGGAATTTTCTCTATGTTAGCTTTGGATTTTGTTTTTATTATTTCAGTATCGTTTGGAGAATTTAAATAAGGGGTCCAATGGATGGATTCCCGAGTTGTAAACTGATGGAGTTTTGGAGTTTGGGTTTGACGGATTTTAATAATTATAATATTTTACGGATTCTGTTTTTAGTTCTTTTCAGCTTTAATTTCATTTCTTAATTCATTTTGTATTCCGTGTTCATTATAAATACTTTAATTGTTTGATATTCCCTCGGGCTCGGGCCTGCGCCTGATCAACCCGTGTCTCGGATCCGAGGGGTATCACATGATTCATCACATAAAGACAAGTTTTATGTAAAAATAAAAATATGATGTATCATTCAATTAATGGATTGAATACTTACATCAAAGGTCTGAGTAAACCTTTAAATCTTTCCTCTAAAGTGAGTGTTCTCACTTATTGTAGATCCCTTAGCAAGATGCCTTCTCCTTGGATCTCCATCTTCTTAGTAATTTTTTTGCCTTTAGGAATCACTTATAAGCGTCCATGAATGACCTTGGAAAACTAGGCTTGTGGGAGCCTCCATTAGATGAGAACACTAACCCTAATTTTCTAGAGAGAGAAAATTTATTCCTTTTTCCTTCTCATCAAAAATCACCCCCAAAATATACATAAACCATGTATATATATAGGCAACATAAAGATAAGGAAAAGGAAACTATAAATCCTTCTCAATCTCTAATTCACATATC